TTTTCAGGCAGTGTTTTATCTGAAGGCTTCACTTTGTGAAGCACGAGAGTCTCAGAGGAAACACAGGTACGCAGGGACAGGGGCCAGCTGAGCCCACACCATACAAGAACATGAGTTTCAGTCCTACAATACCCACTGGGGACATTCAGTCGTGACATTGAGACAAGTGTGTGGGACAGTGCTGGCCACCTCAAGTCACCTGATGGAGGCCCTGGAGCTGGTGATGACAGAGAGGAGGTTCTGCAGGGCCAGGTCTGCATTCTGTCTCACAGCAGCCAGGCTCGACTGGCTCGACCTCAGCACCTCGTTCTCCTCCTTGTAATTCTTCAGCTGGACCTGGGGAGGAAAAGAAAGACTTCAGGTGAAACCAACCACACAGCTCCTGCAGGTAGCCCACAGCTAAAGCAACCAATGAATACAGCAGCTAAGGTGTGGATCCCACAGCCAGCCTGCCCAGAGAACAGCCCCCCCAGCTCTGCAGAGCCACCTCCCATGGAGAGCTACAACTTGGAAGCCTTGGTTGGAACAGAGAATGGACACAACGTTTTCATGAGGGTTGGGAGGCTCTGCAGAGGGGTCTGGACAGGTTGGATCGATGGGCCAAGGTCAGCTCCATGAGGTTTAATGATGCAAAGGGCCTGGTCCTCCTCCACTTTGGTCACAACAGCACCATGCAGAGCTCCAGGCTTGGGGCAGAGTGGCTGGAAGGTGCCCAGCAGAAAAGGACCTGGGGGTGGTGGTGGGCAGCTGGCTGTCCAAAGCCACCAGCATCCTGGCTTGGATCAGAAACAGTCATCAGGAGTGGGGAAGTGATTGTGCCCCTGGACTCAGCACTGGGGAGGCCACAGCCTCAGTACTGAAGTCAGTTTTGGGCACCACAGGATCAGAAAGACCTTGAGGGGCTGGAGCAGGTCCAGAGAATGGCAACGAAGCTGGTGAGGGGTCTGGGGAACATGGCTTGTGAGGAGCAGCTGAGGGAACTGGGACTGTTTAGTCTGGAGAAGGCTGAGGAGAGACACAATTGCTCTCTACAACCTCCTGGAAGGAGGCTGGAGTGAAGGGGGGTGTTGGTCTCTTCTCCCAAGTAACTAAGCCATAGGACAACAGGAAATGTGAAGTTGTGCCAGGAGAGCTCTCGATTGGCTACGAGGAAGAATTTCTTTCCTGACAGAATAGTGAGACCTTGGCCAAGGCCCAGGGAGGTGGTGGAGTCAACACCCCTGAAGGGGCTCAAAAAACATGTAGACGTGGCACCTGGGGACATGGTTTAGTGGTTGGAGTGTTGGGTTGATGGCTGGACATGATCTTCAATGCCTTTTCCAACCTCAGTGACTCCAAGACAGCAGGGCAGCAGCATTCCAGTCTGCCTGCCCCACAGGACCAGTCCCATGCTGGAGCAGAGCACCCCAGCTGGTGGTGAGGTTAATGGTCTCTGCAGAGCTGGAACATTCTATCCTGGACACTGTGGTGTTCAGGAGGGACAGTGGAGTGCAGTTAAGGTTTCCAACCTCTGGTTTACAGGCTGGGTTTGCAGATGAACAGTTTCAAACACCTCCAGCCCCAGCCTGCTCCCCAGGTCTCCAGGACTGGGCTCTGTACCTGCAGCAGTGCATTCTCCTGTTTCAGCTTTGCTGTGCTGCTTTCTGCTTTCACAGCCCGTTTCTGAAGCAAAACAGAGAGGATTTAGACTGTCACCAACATCAGCATTAGCTCAGATTTCATATAGATGCAATACACTTGAAGTGAATTTTGTTCATTGACTTGAATAGTAGCAGAAAGCACTGAAGTACTTATTGTTTAAATTCCAGGATTTACTCCTTCTTTCAGAGACAGAGGTTAATCCTTGAGTACAGTTTACAAACAATGATAACACAACAAGTAACTAATCACTTTAAAGATCCTTGTGTGTATCAAGCTATTCCCTTTAAAAGCACAATTCCAGCACACAGCTTGAAGGGATACAGTTGGTGTTACACCACCTCGTGTTCTGAAAGCTTTATGAGATGAGGACAGTGCCCCTGGTCACATCTCATCAACTGCCTCCTCCCTCCCCTGTTTTTCATCTCTGATACCTTCCAGTGCTGCCCATCTCTTCTGGATGTTAATTTGTTTGTGGACAGGAGGAAAAGGCATTTGGTATAAATAAGAAAGCAGAAAAAAAACCAGCTCTTAGTTCATACAGGTGTTTTCAGAAGGCTGCAAAAAAGCAGCTGAAGCTGTATTAATAAACATTTCTATATTCATCACCAAAGATCTCCCTTCTAGGTGATGACAAGAATTCCAGACTGGGCTGTGGTCAGTGGAAGGGTCTGAACCCATGTCAGGGCTGTTTAGTGCTCACAGGGGGGAGGGAATCTCTTCAGGTTCCCTCACTCTCCTGCAGCTGGAAGGAACAGAACCACACAAGTTCCACACAAGCTTCTGTGGCCGTGGCCAACACTTACAGTCATCAGCTGGAGGTTCTGCTCCACGTGCTGCACCATTGCTTCCAAATCCAGAGCTTCTTTTTCTTCTTTAATTTTGCTTTCCTCAAGCTTTTGCTCCAGCTTCCTCACCCTTAAAAACCAAGAGACCATGTACAGTAAGCACCTGTCACACTGAATACTTGAGGAAGAAAATTCTAGGGAAGAATCAAGAAATTCTTTCATGTTGTAAGAACAATTAAGGCTCCCCACAGAACTACACTTCCAGGCTGTGGCTTTTGTTCCACATCCATTCAAGGTTTCTTTCTTCAACATCCATTAGCATTACTGAGAATGACACACAGAGAGTGCCTGCAGAAAACTCCCAGCACAGTGCCCTGCACCATCCATTTAGACACAGGTAATTCTGAAACAAAGACTCATTCTGACCCCATTTTGAAGCTTTCTTGCTTCAAAGAGAGATTAAGATTCCTCACTTTGTTCATGTGAAGCTCCACAGAGTGCATCCTGCCAAGCTCTACCCTCACTAAGCACCTAAGGGGCATGAAGCATAAGCCACACAAACACACACCACATGCCAGCTTGCTACTTACTTTCCAGGACTTTTTCAATAAGAAAACCAGGTTTGTTAAAGCTTTTTTAACAGATACCATAGATCTCAACTACATTGTTCTTCTTTAAAGACGTTGACTGTTGCCAGTGAGCACCTCTTCTAAGACAACTCCTTGCTCATGTGGTTATTTTCCCCCATACTGTGGCTTACGCACTTGGCTGCTTGAGCTTCAGAGAAAATCTGAAGCTTATTGATCTTGCTTCTCAAACTGGCATTCTCTTCTTGTAGCTGGAAAAGAAAAAATCCTCATTAGAAACGAGGGTGTGGTTGCACAACACAACTCTGAGAGACCAAAAAAAATACTCAGCTTCAGTGCTGGAAAGCCTGGTGCTTTCTGTCACCTTCCAGCTTGCTTTCACACCTAGTTTTCCCCTCTCTGAATCACTTAACTTCACTAACCAACCCTGTGGGGCACAGAAATGCAGCACGGAACAACCAGTGCAGATGTGACTGAACAAATGCTTCTAATCCTAAATTAATAGAACCTCAAGGGGAAGAGCATGAGGAAATCTCCTAGCTCATGCCAGGCAAGCTACCGACTCTGCCTCACGCTGCAGAGCCGTTTTCCAGACCCGCTTCTCTTCCTCAAGCTGTTCCAGAGCAATTTTTCAGCCCTATTTCTCATCCTCAGGCTGCTCCAAGAAGCTGCCCCGTCCCACGCA